CGGGAAAGGCGGAAAGCGCGCGGAGCCAGCCAGAAGGTGGCCGCGGGGCGTCTCCGGGCGCGGCGCTCGCCTCGCTCCCCTGGAGCGCGCGACGGATGCTCGGAGGAGAGGCGCCGCTTGCAGCGCCGGGCGCCCTGCGGGCCACAGGTGGCTGCCGTGGGGAGGCGGAAAGGCGGCTGCACGGGGAAGCTCGTCTGGGAGGCGGCGGGAGTTCCCGGCGGCGCGCGAGGGAGGTGCTCGGCTGGCCAAAGTTTCCGCGCAGTTTGGAACGCTCTGCGCCGGGGGCGGCCGGCGAGGCTCGGTCCCTGCTCGAAATGCCGGTTCAGAGGCGGCCGCGGCCGGTCGGGATGAAGGCGGAATCCTGTGCAAGCAAACAGAGGCGGCGGGGGTGCAATTGTGAGGTCAGCGCAAGTGCAGCTCGCTTCGTTTGGAGCATTTAATGAGGAGACTTGCAGGGGACGGTGGCCCGTGCCAGTAGCCGCGCTGTTTTTCGTTTTGATTTCTTCTCTTGCTTTGTTTTTGAATTCGTGCTTCCCTTCTGACGTATGTTTTGATGCCTTTAATTTCAGCTTTAGACCGACTGTTGTGTTTGCATTGTGTTGGTTAATGAAGTTGGATTTCTCAGAGAAATGTGGCTAATCCGCATCAAAATGCAGCTGAATATCATTGAACTGATTTAAATAGTTATTTTTCTTTATGGGTCAGATACAGAAACAGATGCTCCGTACAAATTATAAATATGATTTTACTCTCATGGGGAAACGAGGAGCATAAATGTCCTGCATGGGGCAGAAGGATGGTTAATGTATTTAATGTATTTGTTCTAAAGGACCTACAGCCTTTATGTTTTGTATAATAAAATTTAAGGCTGTGAGCTGACTGCATACCTTTTAGCCGACTGATTTAAAAAGCTGGATTACTGCTTGAAAAATTAGGCTGGGCATATTATTTTTAAAATAACATAAAAAACAATAAAGAATAAATTGATAATTTATGTAATGATAGATAATAGTAATAGTAATAATAATAATAATAATAATAATAGATAAATGAAAATGTGTCTTTTTGTGAATGTATATAAACTCCTGCAGCTGTGGCCACCAGGTTCTTTGCCCAACACCTGGATTGGGAGGTTCTGCTTGCTGTCATTCATGCATTAGAAACCCACCAGTTGGATTGTTGCATTGCGCTCTACATGAAGCTGCCCTTGAAAAGCATCTGGAAGCCACAGTTGGTACAGAATGCAGCTGGTGGGAAGCTACGGCTGCATCTTCGTCCATCCACTACTCAGTCAGCTGGCCTGGCTCCCATAGGCTTCCAGGTGCAATTCAAGGTGCTGGTTATCATCTATAAAGCTCTACATGGCACAAGACCAGGTTATGTGCGGGACCGCCTGTCCTCAGTGGCATCTGCCCATTCCACATGCTCTAGTAGGATGGGCAAGCTTTGGGTCCCTTCCCGGGTGCAGGGTCACCTGATAGGACCCAGGAGGTGAGCCTTTTCCTTTGCACTCCCTAGCCCAGTGTTGTCCAAACTTGGCCACTTTAAGATGAGTGGACTTCAACTCCCAGAA